AATTTAGGTGGAAAATTTATATTATATAAAGATATAATTTTCACTGAGCATGCTCCAGCTTCAGACTTCCACCAGGCAGGAAATTAGAGTTGTGAACCTGAATTAGGCAAATTTGGGTATGTTATAGTCTTCCAGTTAGCAAGCAAATGATGGAATCTACTTTTAGAATTTCTTTTTCGATCACTCTCAACCATTTTTTATGTCAACTTAACTTAGGTACTATTTACCAAAATTGTTTATAAGAACATCATGTGGGACTATGTTTAAGCCTTAATAAAGTCAAGAGAGATCACATGTATTGTTTCCCTCCAGAACAGTTAACTTGTCATAAAACGGAAATGAGAAAATTTTGCTATAGTCTCTTCTCAAAAATCCACTTTGACAGTTTTCTATTACTTTATTATTCTGTCTATGATTAAAAATTATTTATTTAATAACCTTGGTGTTTATTTAATAATCTTGTTATTTTTCTACTATCAAAGTTAGGACGACTGGTCTGTAAGTCTCTATGTTTTCCCTTGATACCCTTTTTAAAAAAAACCAAAAAAAACCCCAAAAAGCTGCTGTGTTTTCTCTCCCTGTAGTCTTACCCATCTACCTGGACTTCTCAAACATAACTTCCACTAGCTCCTAAATACTGCAAGAACTAACATAAAAATATTTCAGCCACCTTCCTTCCATATTCTGGTTTATGTTTATAATCCTTGATCTTACTTGTAATGTGGGATGTAATTTCATTTCTTTGATCACTGGAGCAAACAAAACAAGCACGTAACCTATCCTTCTCATTTGCTATTTGCTCAGTCTCCACAGTAAACTGTGAATTAATACTTGCTTTCATGCCTTCAGCTCTCTCGTACTACTAAAGTATTCAGAGATATTTTTTTCTTCTTGTTTTCATGTCTTTTTTTAAGTTGTAACTGTTAAGAATAGACGAAAGCAAGTATCTTTTTGCACATGAACTTTTGCGTAAGAGGCACATGTGTTGTCAATATACTCCATTTGGCTGCAGAGCACACAGGCTTACGAGCCCCTCACCAAAAGGACATGAACAAGCATCTCCAGCTCAAAGAATTCCAAACTGCTGATCCAAGGAAGAGTTGACCACAGGCCATAAACTCCACATTAATGCCACAGTCCAGGAATACTTCATAATCAACCACTCTCCTCCCCCTTTCAAAACAGTCACAGAGCTACTCCTTCATACAGATCCATTTACATGCTATGTTGCAATTTCAGAATTTAAGTCTCTCTTCTATAAAAGTAAGTCTGACTTCCTACAGAAATGATGAAACCACGTATGTGTGCACGTGGGCAATTTTTGCCCTGTTTGTCGAAGAGGTGAACACCTCAAAGGAGCTGAATTTCTAGAAGGGTGGCACAAGCGGTTGGCAGGGATTGGGAAGGTCCTGTTGCCACCCTGAAGGGAAGCAAAGGCAGGGAGAGCATCGTCCTTTCCTGCCTTGACCAGCAGCTGGGGAGGGGGTCCTCGGCCACCCATCACGCATGGGTTATCTAACCAGGTATTACACACATACCTACAAATCAGCTATGACAACTTTTTCCCCATTGTCAGGCTGGATAAAAATGTTTTGGGACTCAGCAGCAATATGAATACATTGCAATGACTTTTGGTGTATTTCAAGGAGCTGAAGTGGAGTTATTACTGGAAGTATTAAAGGCAGGGTAAGTTCAAGGAAGTACTGAAGTGGCAAAGTATGAGGGGAAGTTGTAAGGAATATGAAGGACCTGAAGGAGAAACAACTGACAGGAATCTAGGCCTTATTAACTCCTTTCAAAAGACATCTTTTTAAATGGAAAAATGTATTGCTCTTCACCTAAAACTGAAGTGCACAGGAAGACGCGCGTGGCTTAATATTCATAGAAGGAGAAGAACCTTCATCTCTAGCTAGTAAACAAGTGCAAAAATAGAATTCCCAAATGTGATTTTTTTTCCCCAAGAATTCATAGGCATATAAAATTAGACATAATCCGGAAAATTCTTTTGCAACCCTAACTCTACTGTTTATTGCCAAGTGAACATAAGTCCTCTGTATCAAGCTTTATTTCACATGTAGTGGCTCTTTTACTCAGGAAAAAAGAAACTTCTATTATTTGATGACATTTTCTGTTTCTCATTATTGGCTGCTTTTCACCATACAGCATCATCTGGCTCAATGAAATCCCTTTCAGTACAATAAGCTGAGGAAGATACTGCACTATACTGTGGGTATTAGTGTTGATTACTTGCAGACTAGTCTGTAATTCTGAAATCTAAGAAATAATACCTTTTAGGTGGTGGGCATATACCTGAATATATATACCACTTATCAGAAGTGGAGAGGCTGCACAGCTGTATCCCAGTTCCATTTAACGTGAAATCATAGCGGGTACACTGCACAGTGCAGAGGCAGTGGTAAAAGGTATGGTCACTGAAATCCTGAGAAATTTTCAGGTACTTAGTATCAGCCTTTCCTCCAGCGTTTAATGAGCTTTTCGTGGGCTCTTCCAACAGTCAAAACACATATGTACATTTAAGTACATACATACTTCTAATTCTGTATGAACCAATCACGTACCATCTTCCAAAGACACCTCACAAATATTCATGAAAACTTTGTCAATTATGAGGTGTTTTCATTAGAGCTATGCAAAAGAATAATTTCGAATTTTTTAACAAATCAGTCTCCTGGACAAAATTTGCTGTACAATTATCATTAGGACTCACTTCTATCATTATTTTACAGATAATCAGATTTCCATAAAGATGGTAAAAATTAGAAATTTTTTATTTAAAGAGTAAAATACAGGTAAAACCATTAAAACTAATTGAAGTGAGAACAGAAATAAATAAATAAAAAAAAATCAGATTGTTTACCACAACATAAAGAGGAATGATCTGGTATTAAAGCAATGGAATTCCATTGAAAGCAAAGGAATGGGGGTCCTTGGCCAATGACACACATGGATTATCTAATGATGTAATCACAGATTCAGAGAGTCAGATTATGGTTTTTACACCAGTACAATCTTTCTGTGTGAGCTGGAACAAGTTATGTGCATTCTCTGCAACAGATGATCATGTATAAAAAGATGATAGCCGTCCTTTTCTGTCTCCAAGGAATACTGTGAGAAATTAAGTGGAAAATACCTTCTAATATAGTCAAATTATTATAGTATCATAACTTTTATAGCAGATGTTACCATATCTATTACAGTAGAGCCAACAGAAAACTCAGGTTAAGTTTGCTGATGAAATATTAACTAATTTACTAAAGAGATGTACCAAGTCAGACATACTGTATTTGTTCTACCTTTATGATAAACAAGCAAGGTTAGAGATTTTCTTCTTACAACTTTTTTTTTAAACATTAGAAGGGTAGGAATATATAGTCTTTGTGTATGGTCGCTATAGAAAAACATCACTTTATAAGTGACTTTAACTTGTACAACCCCAGGTTAAGAGTATTTGAGAATTTTCATTGATCTTCAGATATTTTTCTGTTGTTTTCACTAGCTTTTGTCCACCAAATCCCAGTTGAACCTCACTCTTACCTTCCTCTTTGTCATACCGCATCAAAGTTTTCCTCATTCTTTTTAGAACTGCATGACTGAAAAATTATCTTTTTATTTTTTCAGCATCAAGCTTGGGATCTTGGGGCAGAATCTGAGTCCAGATTAAGGCATTACAGCCAAACCTCCAGATGATGATTCAAACTACAGTCCTGAATTAGAAAATGCTGAAGTTCAGCTGGGAATCTGAATTCAAAGTTTCACAGTTTTATTTCACGATTGCTAGAGGAACAAGAAGCGACACCAGTAAAATCTCATCTATAGCAGCGACTGGATGTCTCCACAGCTTAATTTCAGATCCTGCAAAGCACTGAGTAGAACAAATAGGTTTCAGCAATTGCTTGGCCTCTTGCAAGAATATTCCCTTTTTTATTTAAGCTAATAAATGGTATACAATCATTTATTTTATTGATAAATCTTAAACACATAATTTGCTTAAAATTTTAAGTCTACTATATACCAGCTTAAAAATGTGTTTAGCACTTCAATAGTTTTTCCTTTATCCTTTTCAAAATCAGTTTTTAGATATTATATCTATTATAGGTTGACTAAACAATTTCACAGAAATCATCTCGCTGAAACAGGAAAACACCATCATAACACAACTCAATAGCAGGTCTACACAAATAGTGTAATAAATCTCTAGATACTACATCACTTCCATTTCTTGCGGAGTTTCTAGAGAATAGGAAAAAAAAGATAAACTGTGATGTGGAGTTCACCATAGGCATGTAAGCCCAGTACAGGCTTGGGGTGGACCTGCTGGAGAGCAGCTCTGTGGAGAGGGACCTGGGTGTCCTGGTGGACGACAGGTTAACCATGAGCCAGCAGTGTGCCCTGGCTGCCAAGAAAGCCAATGGGATCCTGGGGTGCATCCAGCAGAGTGCGGCCAGCAGGACGAGGGAG